AGCCCCACCCACCCCCTACCCCTAACTCTATCCCACTACTGAGATGAGACCCAATATCCACGAGAAGGCACCGGGCCTACAGGCTGTAGAACTTGAGGCTCCTGTCCATGCCGGTTGAAGCGATGAACTTGGCATGGTGCCCAAAGGCCACTCCAGTGGTCAGGCCACTATGTTCTGAGGAAAGACAAGAAGCAGCTGTGAGAAAGCCTTTCCTCCTTTACAGTTGAACATGGCCGTGAACACCATGCTCCTGGCACCACCTCAGTTGGTATGGGTCAGACTACACAGTACGACACACTCCTGAAGGCAGGACCCTGCTCACCACTTATCTCCAGCACTACAGTACCTGGCACAACAAAGGTACTCCACTTTTTGTTGGCGGGGTGAATGAACAGAGGAATGTCAAGCCCCTCCTCACCAGAACGGCCTGGGCAAGTGCACTTCAGTTCAACTGGAAGCCTGAGTGTTCTGTTGGTCTAAGCTTAGTTTTAGCTCCTGCCCTAGCATGGTCCATCAGTTTGCTCGAGCTCGAGGAGGTCCAAGCGCAGGGCCCAGAGCACAGGGCTGGATCCAGGTCAGAAAAAGCCTATCAATCCTCCTCAAAGGACTCGGTAACTGATAACCAAGGCAAGCTTCTTCTAGACTTTGGATCATACCTGGGGCTCTCCCAGCTCCCCAATGAGAAGTTCCTGTGTTCCCCCAGTTGGCCCAAACTAAAGGTGATCCTCCAGCCTCAGCCTCCCAAGTGTAGGGATTACAGGTGTGAGCCACCACACCCAGCAAGATCCCTAACTCTGAAGAAGTTAAAACTCTCATAATGCAGGGCAAATGCCCAGGGCCATGGGATTATTTAAACGTTAGAAACTCTCTGGTGCCCTGCGACAGCCTCAAACTTTTCTTCTTCATTACATCTAGATGTCATTAAATTAAGTACAAGCTAGTTCAGTGGTAGAGTACTTGCTTTGTGGAAAAAGTCCTGACTTTCCACTCCATACAAACCAAAACAAAACCCTCCTAAGTCACCCTCCACCTGCCCTTCCCAACTTGACTATAAACTTCACTACTGCCAAGTCTGGTTCTGTCTTATTCACTGCTCAAATCAAGATCCAATGTTGAACAGTAACAGCAGCAAGCCCCCACTGTGTACCAGACACTGTTCTAAGGTATGGTGTACGCATGCTCACGTAATCCCCTCTACAATCTCACTGGAGATAACCATTCCCATCTTCCTGAGGCTCCAGAGAAATTACACAACCTGTTCCTCATGACAGAATTTAGGAGAGGATAATTAGTACCAGCACCTACAGCCAAGCAAGCAGGGGACTCAGGTAGACTGCTTTGCTGACATGCATGAGGTCCCAAGTTCTAGGCCCCAGGACAGTACAAAGACAAAGAAAGCAAAATAGATGAACAAATCTAAACCAAGCCCAAAGCTTCATCCCCTCCTTGGGCTTCCCCACTTCTCTCTAGAGCAGGTGCATAGGGACAGCCCAGAGCCAGCCTCTACCTGTGAAGTGAAGAACCTCCGTCCACTGCTTGCAGATGTAGATCTGGACGTCTGTGCCCCCAAGGGCCAGATAAGTTCCGCTCTGATCAAAGATCAGTGACTTCACCTGCCCAACCAGAAAGAGGTGATTACATACAGGAGCAACAGACATGGGACAACTGGGGACAAATGGAAGACTGCATTAACTCAGCAATCATCACCGAGCGAGGAGAAACACCAAGTGCATGGGGAGAAGCACACCTCAAAGTTGTTGTCTAGCTGCAATGTCTTGAAGTTCTTCAGCTTGCGCAAGTCCCAGAGCTTGACAGAGGAGTCATCAGCTGCTGTGGCCAAGTAGTACCCATTCTCGGAGAAAGCGATGCTGGTGATGGGACCAGAGTGGCCAGGGAAGTTGGCCACGTTGGTGCGCTCCTACAGGTGGGGTGGACAGTAAAATGTCACCCTCTGGTAGATGGGCTCACCAAACTCCTATTTCTGAGGTGTCCTGTAGGTCCCTGGTGCAAGCAGATAGCCCAGGGCCCCTAAGCCACACTCACCGTGCTACACAGAACCAGGCTCTCCCAAGCCTCATGATACTCCCAGGGCCAGAGGCCAGAGACACCTATCAGCTCCTTCTGCCCCCAGACCCTAGATGGGACCTGCATGTCCTACCTTCAAGTCCCAGATCTTGATCTGGGAATCCAGAGTTCCTGTTCCAAAAATGAGTCCATCAGGGTGGAACTGGGCACAGGTGAGAGCTGAGGAGAGATGTATGGTCAGAGTCCGGCAGACGGGGTGAGAGTGGCTAAGACTGGCACTTGCTCTTCATTCCTTACTGTGCCCAGCACAAGACTGGCCACTAGACAGGTGCCAGTGCTGAAGGTTATCTTTAACAGATAAGCCAATGTCTAAATAAATGACAGACTGTGAACAAAAGAGCGCAGTGCCCCAAGGCCACTTACAGCAGCCGGAGGTCTCATCTGTCACCTTGGTGAGCACACGCCCTGTCTGGATGTCAGAGAAGGCCCAGTACTAGAAAAGACAAAGAAGCCTGTGAGACAGTGGGTCTGGTGGCCTTCAAGAGACCATGGTTCAGCAGCCCCTGGCAGTTAGCTCTCGAGGCAGAGAGGCAACACTCCCCTCCAGCACTCTGGGGACCTGGCTGTCCCTGGCAAGATGGCCCCTTCTCCCAGAAGCCTAAACTGCCTCTTCAGGGCCCTGGTTGGGGCTGCACCTGGTCATCAGAGGAGCTCAGGAGATAGTCTCCAGTAGCATGGAGGCTGAGGCCTGTCACAGCACTCTCATGGGCACGAACGACTTGTACACAAGAGGTGGTCGGCACTGACCATATCCTGATAGTGGCATCTGGAGAGGCAGAAAACACCAGTTCCTGAAAGTAAAGAAACAGAGGATCAAAATGAGGAGAGAGATGAGCTAGAACAGTCTGTCCTGCCTGGAACCATCTATCCAAACAATGATGCTAAGAGGGCCAAGAGTAAATTCTGCTCAAAGGATAAGACATTAGGCCTGGCAGGAGGCTCGCCACTCATGGTCAAAAGGATAACTGCACAAGAAAGCTATTTCTGCCCCACTTTTGGGCTGGGAGCAACGTGGACAGTGCAGCTGAGGGACTGAATTCTTAATGTGTTGCCTGCAGCTCCACTGTATGGTACATGTCTGAGCAGTGCTAGGTTAGGTCTGGAAAGGACTGCTGGGTCATGCAATGTTCCTCTCACTTGGATTTCAGGACTAAGTTGACTTTCCAAAAGACCTAGGGCAGACAGAGAACTTCCTAAGGTTCCCTAACAAATTATTTTGACTAGTTAGGACATTAACAACCTCAAAAGCAACCACCATTTTTTAAAATGATTTATTTTTATTTTATGGGTATGAGTGTTTTGCCTGCATGTATGTAAGTGCACTATATGCACGTAATGCCCACAGAGGCCAGAAGAGGGTATCAGATCCCCTGGAACCGGAGTTACAGTGGGTTGTTAACCATCATATGGGTACTGGGAACCAAACCCTGGTCTTCTGCAAAATCAGCCAGTGCACCTAAATGCTGAACCATTTCTCCAACCCCATCCCTCTTTAAATTTCTTTCCCACAATCTTTTATTAACACACCAAAACTCAAAAGTACTAATACCAAATAAACAGGAAAATAGTGCTTGCAATTAGAATTCCTTTTTGTTTGCCTTCTATTCCTCTATTTTTCCATTTCCTAAGGTCCAAGGGAAAGGATAAGAGGGAAGCATTGCTCCAATGCAGTCATACATTGGTCATACACCAAGCCACAAGATACTCAGCACAAACTAGAACTCAGTCTCCTCTAGTAGGACCTTTATCCTCTAAGCCAGCTTCTCATCTACTTGAACTCACACTACTTTCAACAGTCAGCATCAAATTCTGAGTCTCACCCTGGAGGATCATGGGAAGACAAGTGACAGCACTGCATTGAGCTTTGTTGTCTGTAGTGTGGTGTGAATATGAACACTGTAAGGTTGTTTCTTTCTTTTTCCTAATGCAAAATACTTCAGTGAACACACTTAGTCAAACTGCATTTCCTTTCTCCCTTGGCTGGAAGGCTGCAGCCTTAGGAGGCCCTGCACAGAGGCCCACCAATGCCCACTTCACCAAGAAGACAGCCAGGGATGGGGGATTAGCCCGGGAACTGGACTCAGGAAAGGACAAGGGTGTTGTCAGCACACCTACCTGTGAAGGGTGAAACACCACACTGGTGACCTTCTTGGTATGGCCCTTGAGGGTGGCCAGGATTTGCTCAGAACTCTTATCAAACACAACAACATTTTTATCTGCCCCACCTGGAGAAGATCCAAGGAAAAGTTAGTTAGGCTTGTAAGGATCTCTGTGCTGAACATCTTTCTGTCTCCAAACCCATGCAGAGGACCAAGGGGTTCACATCTTCCCTTGCTTTCAGCCTGTCAGGTCTGGCCCAGACTCACCAGTAAGAATCTTGTTAGTGTCAGAGGGACAGAGGTCCAGGGCAAGGATCCCGGGAATGCTGGCACTATGCAGGCCCTTTGCACAGAGACACACCAAACCCAGTCACAACTAAATTAAGGCTGTATGTAGAGTCACACAACTCCCCAACTCTGGCCATCCTCCCCAGTCAGGAACAAGAGTGAATTCTATCCCTTATCCATGAGCTTGACTTTCTGCCTGAATGCAGCAACCCCCTCACTACATGGCTAGACAAAAAGAGTGGCCAAGACAAGACACCTCAGAGAGACCTGGGCAGCTTTCCCCTGCTCCTCAGGCCAGCCCACCTTGCCCTAGAAACAGTCAGGGGCCCATCTCCAGCCACTCACCACATGGGATGCCACCTGTCGGTATTTGCTCAGCTCTTCTGGCTTCACCAGCTCCTCAGGCACAGTCTTTCCTCTCTGAGGAAATAAAAAGGCCCCAAGAAGAGCAGCAGTGAGCACAGGCTTCAATTAGCCCCTTCCCAAGTAGCCATGTGCTCATACTAGGCAAGGACTCACCTTCTTACGCTCTGTGGTTAGCACAGTGGCCTTGTCTTGAAGCTGAGGAAGACACAAATGATTTGTGTGACCAAATGATTTTGTAAGGACAACATGATAGGTGCTGGTCACATCTGCTTTCACAAGCACCACCAAGAACCTACAGTCTGCCAAGGTCTATGCTAAAAGCTGACACCATTCCCCCAAAATTATGAGGTGGGTACCCATGACCTAATTTTACAGTTGAGGAAACTAAACATCAAAAGTAGTCCCTTGCCAAGGTCAGTGAAGTGATGAATGGCAGAGCCAGTAAGGACAGGCATGACCCAGGCGTACTGCTCTGGGACTGGGTCTAGGAAGCTTAACTGGGTGGGACAAGCTGAGCTGCTCAGACACACTGTCCAGCCCCACATATGAAAACTATGTTCAAAGAGCCCTGGACCGCAGTCGGGAAGAAGCTCTGCCTCCTCTCAGCTGTCTGACTTGCACTCAGATACTTCATCTTCAAGACAAAGATAACTCTTATCTTGTCTTGTAGGCAAAGCCCATAAAATCTATAATAAAATAGCTTAATACTGGCAAAGAATTCTAATAATAGCAAGAGCTAAAAGTTGCACTTATCAGTAATTAAATCTTTCCCACAACAAGCCTGTGAACAGACACCAGCATGCTATTCAGAAGCAAGGGAAATGAGACAGAGACAGAGAGGCTAAGTGAGCGGAGGTATAAGGCTCCCAAGTGGCCAAACAGGCAACCTGGTCCCAACTAAATCCCCATACTCCCCACTACTGCCCACAGCTCACCTTCTGAATGATCTCAGGGGTCATTCCCACCAGCTCACCCAAATCCATGGGCTCTCCTGCCCCCTGTAGACAAGAAAGGGGTGAGAGGGGCACAGAACACCAGAGACCTGCACAAGGACAGGTATTTGCTGGCAGGAAAGGGGACACTCACCACAACGCTCGGCTGAGAGCTCGGCACAGCCTGAGGCACAATGAGACCAGCCTGTGGTTTCAGGGTAGCCAGGGCTAAAAAGAAAGAGAATGTTAGACGTGGGTCATTCGGAGGCAGGGCCAGCCGGGGGTGGGGGACCGCAGGGAGGAGGTGGCACCTTCTCGAGCAGCAGTAACTTCCTTGGTGAGACGGGCAATGACACGGCAGGCGGCATCGTGCTGGTACAGAGCATGGGACAGCTCCTGGCGGGTTGTCTGCAGCTGCTGGCGCAGAGTAAAGCTGTGCAGCATGACGGCATCCTGGGAGAGGGAAAGGCCACAGTGAGCACTGGAAGAGAGCCAGACTCGGCCAGCCCAGAGGACACCACCTCCTGTCCTACACAGAAACCAAACTGAACTGCTCAGACAGAGCCCGAGCAACATGCAAGTGACCCCTGAATGCACAGGCACACACTCTCAGCTCCTACCCTACACCAGATGCTGGGCACAGACAGGGGTGGGAACCAGCTCCTTCCCATGCCCTCCCACCTTTGCTGTTTACCAGCAAACTACAGATGTAATGCCATCAGCTCTTTGAAAGGAAACAATAACACTGCTGTTGCTATTTATTGGTCACCCTCATCAGGTGCTGTGCTCAGTAAGGAAGAAAAGTCCCCCAATGATATAAGGCATATATGTTAGTTTTATTCTAGTTTTCATAGAATCCAGAGAGAATTAGTGTTCCACAGTCAGGAAAATCAAGACTTAGATTAAGCAATGTGCTCCATGTCACAAAGGCAGTAAGCAGAGCAAAGAGTAGAAATCCAGTCGTGGGAGAGTTCCACCAACCAGGCTCCTCTAGTGTTGCCATCCTGCTCCCCACAAAAGTAAGGCTGGTAAGAAACAAGGGGGCTTCTCAGAGGTACAGCATGTACATGAGCCTTGGGTTCATTCCCAGTGTCTCTCCCAAAGAGTCAGGCCTGGTGGTCTACACCTGTAATCCTAGCACTTAAGAGGCTAAAGTAGGAGGATCACAAGTTCCAGCTGGATGTGGTAGCGCCCGCCTTTAATCCCTCCCAGCACCTGGGAGGCAGAGACAGAGGCAGGAGGAGCTTTCTTAGTTGAGGCCAGCTTGATCTACACAGTGAGACCAGGCCAGTCAAGGCTACATAGTGAGATCCTACCTCCAAAACAAAACAAAATAAACAAGTTTCAGGGCAGTGTGGGCTACATTATCAAGATCATGTCTCAAGAAACAAAGAGGGAGGGAAACCCCATCTTTTCAATCCCCAAGTCTCAGCCCAGAGGTGCATTCTCTTCAAGTGGGGATGACATGGATTCTCCTCCAGGAACTCACCCACTCATCCTGCAAGGCTTTCAGAATGGCTGGGATGCTGGTGGCAGAGGGAGGCTTGGGCCGAATTGGGTGAGCAACTGCCAAGAGAGGCAAAGCAGGTATGAAGAACCAGAACCCAGAGGACTCTTCCCCTCCCCCACCCCTTCCCTTTAGCCATTCACAGCCACCATCATCTCCAGCAGACAGGCTCCACCTCCCACTCTGGAAGGCTGAGCTGTGCTGGGCCTGGACTGTAGCCATGGACAGGCACCTTTGATGTCAATGAGCTGCTCCTCTGACAGAGGCTGGTTGTTGACAGGGTCTGTGCCGTTCTCTGCAATGTACTTCTCAATGAGTCGCCTCTCATATACATGATTAGAGACCGGGGACACGCAGGGGTGCTCTGGCACCTCATTGGAGACTGCAGAGAAAGGCAAGCAATGAGCAGGGGTGAAGGAGCTCTTCACCTGTGTCAGCCCCCAAAACCCATGTCCTCACACTCAACTATCAGGAAGCAAGTATCTGCTAGCAAGCCAGCTTGGTACTGGCCCTGAATGCCTGCCAGCCACTTAACTAGATTCTCTGGTTAGTCTGTCAGTAATAAAAGTCAACAAATAATTACTGTCCAAATACTGTGTACCAGGCATGTGTAGAGTGGACAGCAGGCCCTGCCCGTCTCATTTTTGAACAAAGATGGCTGGCTAGGCACACGACAGGAAAGCACACACATCACTCAGATCTCTGTCACCTGTCCATCTGGAGTCCTAGACAGATAAACAGGCAGAGAAATCACAAAGTGACACTGACAAGCACTGATTATTTTAAATAAATAAGCAAATACATAAACCTTTTCGAGTGTATACTGCGCACCAAGCAAGGTTCAAGAGTCTAAGCACTTGACAGGAGACCAAGCACTCCCAGAAGATGGTCAGCTCTGTCACTGACCTCCAGGACAATGCAGAAGCCCAGTAGGCTCTTGATAAACATCTGAATAGAGCGAAAGAGTGCATGCGTACTGAGGTTCAGAAAACAATACCCCAAAGTGTGGAGCCTTGGCGTGGTGAGTATGCTGAACTATGGAAGCTGGGAAGGCCTCAGAAGCCGGCTCAGAACCAAGGTGTCTCTGACCTTCTCAAGCCCTCCTGCCTCTCCAACTTCTCTTAACCAACAAAGACTAGTTCACCTTGGCAAATGAGTGAAGGCCACCTCCATCCTCAAAAATCACCTACTCTTTGGGGGCTACTCTACAACTTTTATTGCCTCAGAGAACAGTGTTTATTCACAATTTAATTCTCTTCACCCTCCTGTAACGTGTGCATCACCAACTCGAAGCCCAAGATGCTAGGTTTTCCTGTAGCTCCAGGTTCTAAGCTTTCATCAGTGTCTCCTATTCTGTAGGACTCCCATGAAGGTGTAATTAAGTATGGAATGAAATATGGCTTTCCTTTGCTACTGTCAAAAATCGGTTTATCTCATGGGCTCACTGACTGGAACCCTTGAGGGGATGAAAATACTTTTTCAGCTGCAACTTTTTCAGTGGAAGATTCCCTTTTCTGTTTATCCTGTCCCTCCTTCCCTTCCCTCTTTAGATTGAGTAATGGTAACGTTCTGGTTAGGGAGGAAAGAGAAGCCTGTAACGTGATCAAACAGTAAGAAGGGAAAACATCTGGAATGACTGCCATAATAAAACACCCAACGAAAAGACGCAGGATGAAAAGGCATGGATCCAGGGTCAAAGAACGGCGCTCCATCACCTAGCTACGCCACTTATTCGCTGGACATCCCTGGACGTACACCATGCTTCCTACGCCTCCCCTCCTCCTCTGTAAATCAAGGATCTTTATTTCCCCTTCAGACAATTCTTGTAAGCATCAAATGAGATCACCGATTTGGAAGTGCGTTGTAAATCAATACGGGCTTTACAAACGTGCACTGTTTTCATTAGTCATACTGCGTGAGGCTAGAAGCCAGACACCCGGCTTCCAGCCCCGTGTCCAACTCCCTGCGTGATCTCTGCAAACTGCAGGAAACCCGGATCCCCAAGCGCGATTACCCAAACAACACCCGGTGCGATGTGCTCCATTTGCGCACATGGGCAAACTGAGGCCCAGGCTAGAACCCAGATCACAATCAGAGGCGGATCCTGGGCTCATCCTCGGGTTTCCTGCACCAACAGCTGTCCCTGCACCAGCTCCCCACTCCGCTCAGGCCCCTCTCCAGGCTGTACTACGGCGCTGGCTTCCAATGACCCCTGCGTCAGTGCTCCTCCGGAGCCGGGCGAACTGCGCAGCACTGCGCAAATGCACCCACACGCTGAGCCGCGGCTCGGGGGCTGACAGGCCGCGGCGCCGCCCCCGGGCGCCCCAGGCCGCTGCCGCCAGACCCCGGGCCCGTAGCGGCCGCGCACGCTCCCGCCACCCGCCGCCCGCCGCCCGCTGCAGCCCGCACTCACTCGAGCAGATCAGGGACATGGCGTCGTCTCAGAGCTCCCGCCGCCTCACACCCGATTCCCGATCCCCAGACTCGCTCTGGAGCTTCCGCGGGCCACTTCCGGTTCCCCGCCGTTTCCGGGGCGCTCCGCCGCGGGAAGACAGCGGCCTGACGAGGCGATGCTCCTACAACTGTTTCACGTGGGGAGGTGGCCAGTGGCGCGCCTCAGCCTTCACCAGCTAACGGAAACTGCCCTTTCCCAGCATGCACCCGGGCAGGAAAAGGCCCTCCCTGGAGCACTCGGCAATTTCCGCATTGGCTCGGTTCCTTCCGGAGAGCTCGCCAAGAGGACGGAGGGAAGGAGGGCAGAAACTACATTTCCCATGATGCCGAGGGAACGTACAGTTACAGGTTTTGGCCAGGCTGCTTGAGCCTGGTGCTGAAGTCGAGAGGAGCTCGGTAGTCATTCAGACTTGCGGGGGGGGCGGGTAATAAGGAGCCTGTTAAAAATGCAGATTCCTTGGGTCTGCCTTAGCGAATCTGTGGACAGGATTCTGAGGCAAGTGTTCCTTGCTGCCCTTTGAAAGACAATGCCAGGTGGCGCTTTGAAAAAAGCACAGATGCGTAGAAAAACTAACCCTGGGCAGGAACGTACCCGGATTCTGTCTCTACTACCAGTTTCCTCTGTGAGCTTGGCCTAGTCACTGGCTTCATTGCCTGACCTTTGAAATATGATTTGTTCCCTACACTGATTCCGGAACGTAATCCCCAGTCTTGAATCAGTATTAAAAGAGCAGAAATTTAGTTTGACTATGGTGGTTAGAAGTGGGATCTTTGGAAAGTGATTAGAATAAATCATCAGGATGGAGCCCCATGACTGAATCCTGGTGTTGGCTTTATTTTTTTTTTAAATATTTTACCATTTTTATTTTATGTGTATGAGTGTATTGCCTGCATATGAGTGCTTGTGAGTACACCGGTGTTGTGCATTGCCCCTGGAGGTCAGAAGAGGGCTTCGGATTCCCCTGGAACTGGAGTTAAAGTGGTTCGTAGCCGCCATGTGGGTGCTGGGAATCGAACCCGGATCCTCTGCAAGAGCAGTCAATGCTCTTAACCAATGAGCCCTGGTGTTGAGAGAGAGAGCGTGCGCTGGCACAGACATACTTGTAGACTCCTACAAGTGTGATACAGGCAAGGAGGACACTATAGCCAGAGCCTGTGTCATTCTGTTTGGACCTCATACCTCCAGAACCATGAGCTAAACTAAACTTCTTTATAAAGCAGCCTACCTTAGATATTTTGTTATAATAATGGTTCCCTGCCTCATACAGAGCTTCTTCGTTTCCTATAACAAAGACCACTTTGGGGGAGAAGTTACTTTTATTTTCTCTCCCTTTGCCTGGCATTCTGAATGCTAAAGAAAAGCTGAACCGGGTGATTAGGGTGCTAACTGCTGCACCACTTTCTTTTGCTGTTTCTGCATTCTTTTGTTTGAGACAGAGTTTTATAATGTAGCACTGGCTGGCCTGGAAGTTGCTATGTAGACCAGGCTGGCTCCAATTCACAGAGATCTACCTGTCTCTGCCTCTTACTGCTGGGATTAAAGGTGTGTGCTACCATACTTTTTTTTAAGATTTATTTTTGTTTTCATTTATGTGTGTGTTGTATGAATGTATAAAACATGTGTGTAGGTGCCCAAGGAGGCCAAAAGAGGGTGTTAGATCCCCAGGACCTGGAGTTAGAGATGGTGGTGGATCTCTGACTCAGGCATGGTTTACATAAAGGAAAAAATATCTTAAGCCCAAGGGCAGCTGTTACAGTGTCCAGTTCAGGTTGAGAATTTTCATGCTTAGTCATGCAATGAATGTTCTGGTCTCAAACACAAATGCTAAAACTGGGTGTGGTGGTGCACACTTTTAATCCTGGCACTCAGGAGGTAGAGGCAGGTAGATTGAGGCTAGCCTGGTGTACATAGTGAGTTCCAGGCCAGCTTGGGCTATGGGGAGAGCCTGTCTCCAAAAAAAACAACAAAACTTTAAGTGCCAAACATATTGGCACATGCCTGTAGCAGTAATCCCCAATGTTCAGGAGGCTAAGGTGGGAGGTCAAAGAATTTGGGTAGTGCCATAGTGAGAACCTCAAAAAAAAATTGGGGGGGTCAGGGATGTAGCTCAGTAGGTAGAGTACTTGCCTAGTATGCATGAAGCCCTGAGTTCAATCCACAGTACTACATAAACCAGGGGTGGTGGAGCACACTTATAATCATACCATTTGGGAGGTGGAAGTTGGAGAGCTGAAGTTCAAGGTTATCCTTGGCTATATAGCAAGTTCAAAGTCAACCTGGAATTGACTTCTGTGGGCACCCCCCACACATACACACATACACATAAAACAAAAATAAATCTTTAAAAAGTTAAATAAATAGGGTGGAGAGCAATTAAAGAAAACACCAGATATTTTTGCTGAGACCCAATGTTGACCTCTGGCCTCCATGCACACAAAGCAAGCATACAAAAAAACTTTAAGTAAATTGTTGCGATTTTGCTGTTTGACAAATAGAACTCAAAAGGTTGTTGGGAAGAGTCAATATAGAAAAAGCACTCTGGGACTGTGTTGGCTCAATGTGTAGAAGCTCCTACCCTTTAGCCTGATGACCTAGGTTTGATCCCCAGGACCCACATGATGGAGGGAGAGAAGCAACTCCTATGGGTTTTCCTCTGACCTCCACACATTCACTGTGCACACGTGCACATACAATAATAAATAAAAGTGTAATATTTTTTGTAAAAGAAATGCATCTCCCTCCTGCACCAGTAAAGTAGCATCCTTGTCTCTCTCCTCCCTCCCAGTCTGGCTTGCTTCTGATCCACTCTCCACAGAACACCCAGCAGTCTACTTTCAGTGAAAAACTGTTCCCACTATTGCCTGTCTTCCCATTCATTCGTGCAATATTGATCACCTCTGTTCTGATAACCAAATGTACAAAAGATGAGAGAGAACAAGTTCCTGTGTTTGTGCAGCTTACAGTCTCTGAGGGCCATGGGCACATAAGCAGTATGTAAGAAGAAAATTCCAGAGACTGGCAAGTGCCATAAATATAAATCAGAGTTGGGCCGGTAGTGGGCACTTTGGACAGAGTAGCTGGTAGGGTAGAGGTGGCTACTTTAGGCAGAGCATTCAAGGGGTAGCCTCTAGGGAAGTGACTTTTTTAAATATTTTTCATTTATTTGTGTGTGTGTGTGTGTGTGTGTGTGTGTAGTGACTTTTTAAATATTTTTCATTTATTTGTGTGTGTGTGTGTGTGTGTGTGTGTGTGTGTGTGTGTGTATACACATGGCAGGTGGGTAGAAATCAAAGGACAACTTGTGGGAATCAGTTTCTCCCACAAAGTGGGTGCTTGGGATCAAACTCATGTTGTCAGACTTAACAAGTGTCTGTACCTGCTGAGCCATCTCACCACCACAAGGGTTTGGGTGACTTTTTACTGAGACCTAAATGACAGACAAGTGTCGGTCCTGAGACAACAGATAGGAGTGTTTCTGGCAGAAGACACTTGCCCCAGTCAGGCCAACCTCCTCCACAGTCACTTCCCTTCCTCTCAGCCACACTGGACCTTCAACACCTCCAGCACACCTGCTTTGACTGCTTCAAAACTTTTATCCACTGGGCTGGAGAGACGGCTCAGCAGTTAAGAGTACTGGCTGCTCTTGCAGAGGGCCTGAGTTGGATTCCCAGCACCCATATAACAGCGAACTCCAGTCCGGAACTCCAGTTCCAGGGGATCCGACACACAAGAGGAGTATTGCATGCACTTACATGCATGCAGGTAATACACTCATAGACGTAAAACAAAAAATAAATACAATATTTTCTTAAAAAATAAAAATGAGCCAGGTGTGATGGCACATGTCTTTAATCCCAGCACTCAGGAGGCAGAGACAGGCAGATCTCTGTGAGTTCAAGGCCAGCCAGGTCTACATTGTGAGTTCCAGGCCAGCTGGAGTCACAGGGAGACCCTGTCTCAAAAAGACCAAAAATAAATAAATAAGTAAATAAATAAATAAATAAATAAATAAAAACTTTTACCTGGACAGCTTTCATCAGCTCCTTCCCAAAACTCTCTGGTATAAACCTCAGCCTCATCTTAAGTGTTCCTCCTCTGCAACCCCGTTCTTGCCCTCTGACAGGTTTCTGTAGTTCTCTAACCCATTTAAAAATTATCTTATTTATTATTTTATTTTATGTGTATGAATGTATTGCCTGCATCTACATAAGTGCACTTATGTCATATAATGCCCACAGAGGTCAGAAGAGGGTGTCAAATTTCCCTGGAACTGGAGTTATGGATAGTTGTTAGCAGCCATGTGGGTGCTGGGAATCAAACCTGGGTCCTCTGCAAGAGTAGCCAGTGCTCTTAACCACTGAGTAATCTCTCCATCCCCTCTAAACCATTTTTAATACCTATTGCTGTTTTAATTATTTATTTAGAAAGACCTGTTTATTATCCAGGTTCTCTACTACTAGCGCCAAAGAGTCCAAGGCTGTGGGAACACTGGCTCGATTATTTATTGAATGACAGGCTGCCTCACAGGCCAAGCATCTCAAGTACTTAGATGTGTAGTAGGAAATAAATCAGTCTTGATGGGACCTTGAACCCAAAGTGCTTAGATTAGGTTGGCCTGGCAAGAGAATAGCATTTTATGTTTGAGCACTTCCAGTGTTTCCTCTGGAAGATACATACTATATGCTTTAGGGTAGAATAGTGTTGTATATCTGTTTCTTCTGAATTACAACTTTCTCCTTTCCAGTGGGACAGAGCTAGTGAAACTTACAAGGCTCAGGAAGTTCAGAATGTAACAAGTTTCTCAAAACCCCTCCTCAAGGTTATAAAAACCAGGACACTTTAGTCCAGCTCCTTGCAAGTTCAGTCCTCCACCTTGCCACTCCTGTAAGTGACATCCATAAACTTACTGGTTTCACCAAGCTAGACTCAGATGGAATTGTTTCTTTGCTCAGTCCCTTATATGGGATGAAGAGACTTCATTTGTGTTTCCTCAGGAAAACTCACATAACGAATGGAATAAAAGACGAGACCTAGTCTATTGGAAACATGGTCCTCATACAGCAGTATTGAGAGACATTTGGGAAGTGACTGGGCAGTGAGAGCTCTGGCCTCATGGATAAATGGATTAATAGGTTAGTGGGTTATTAAAGGAGTAGCTTCATTATAGAAACTTGCTCTCAGGGCTGGAGAGATGGCTCAGCA